CACTTATAGTCTTTTATCTTTCAGAGTTTTTACAATGATCCATGTACTACTTTGCAATTAGATGTGTCCTTTTAAAAACATTTGGAGTCTGTTTTTTCTTTCTTTTGAAACACTGAAGACAAATAAGAACATCTTTTCTGAAACTTGAATCAGTCATGTAAAGTTGAGAAGAAGGGCAATATAAACAGTAATGTTTTGATAGTTCCTAACAGGGTTCAGTCAGATCAGCTGGACGGGTTACACTTTGAATATTTTGTTTATTTTACAAAAGACTTCTTCAGTCTGAGGAGCTGCAGGATAATTGGTCCTTATAAGCAGAACCTTTACATAATGAACAGAACTGATTGTGCACATCAGCACGAGGACCATCAGCCTATCTACTGATCACTAGTATCCTGAGATGTCCTGTAAACACTGTAGGACCTTTATTTCCTCTGCTCAGGTTTGTTGCAGTGTGTGAACCTCTCAGGTATCACTCCATCATGACMTCAGCTCGGCTCCACTCCAGCTGCMCTCTGGCCTGGATCGTGGCCCTGGTGCTCYTCSRCGTGCTCTTCTCCTTCCACATAAATGTCCCTCTGTGTGGTCAGACCATCCAACATGTCTACTGCAGCAACCGAGGCATCCTGGACCTGGCCTGCATCCCAACCCCCGTAAACAACATCTACGGTCAGAACAACGAAGGTTGTTTTTAGTCTCTCTGCTAGACTTTAGCTCATACCTGTGTTTTTATGTTCTGCAGGTCTGGTTCTAACCTGGTCTGTTAGTTCTGTAAACTTCATCCTCATCGCTTTCTCCTACATCAGAATACTGAGAGTTTTGTTGAAACAAGGCCGAACTGACTGCAGCATCCACAGCAAGGCCTTTCAGACCTGTGCTCCTCACATCATGGTCTACGTGCTCTTTCAGGTCGCTGCTTTGGTTGTTGTCATCAGTTACAGGTTCCCCTCTCTTTCCCAAAACGTAAGGAAGTTTTTAACCATCTTAGTTTTCATCGTTCCACCCATTATTAACCCCATCATCTACGGCCTGGTCTGTAAAGACTTAAGGTCCAGTTTCATTAAGCATTTCTCCACGAGTCAAACCCAAAATCTGACCCAATAACTTCACGACAGAGTTTCTGAGCTTATTTATATTTCTGTACAGTCATGAAATAATACATTTTTTAGAAGCTCTAC